ATTACTTTGCCTCTTAGTCTATGGTTACACAACATATCCCTCTTCTTTATGTAGCCTGTCTAATCTTCAATAGTGATGACTTTTGATGTCTGTTTATGTCTTTTCTACAAACAAAATAATTGATTTAGCCATATTGGCAAGTTCTACCCTCTTTCCACCTATTCCTCCATTATTAGTAGTGTGAATCTTTCCATCTTACAATAATCTTGCTGCAGTTGCACTGTAGAAAACAAAGTTTATGACTTTTTTTCCCCCAATTGTTTTCCATCAATCCCAAAAGAAAAACCTCTGGTCTTAGTTGTATATTAATCTTTAAAATCCTCTGAATCAGTGTGCCTATTGCATTTATCAAGTTTACTCCTGCCAAGGTCTAAAAAAAGTATCATCAAGTCATGGAGAAAGTTTATAAAAGTTACACAAACTTTTCTTCAAATCTCTGACTCTGTGTGACAGACAATTAAATTGTTTCGCCCTCTTTATGGACTACCTCATTTTTCAAGGAATTCTGTTGTTAACCTTTGACATATTTTTAACATTTTTTCATAAGACAGTTGCTGTTTTTCTTCCCCAAAGTAAAAGAGGAAAACAGCAGAACAAGAAGACACAGGAGCAAAATTAGAGTTGCATATAGACCTGATAGTTGCTAGGCTTTTAAGATAAAGCTGACTTTTATCTCTGACGCAGAATCTTTTTTTTTTTTTTGCTTTAATTTATATGAATCTTTTTGTTGTTGTTCTTTTGGCCTCTCAAATGAAAATAGTCCATTTTCTTTCACCCGTTTTCATTTCAACTCATCTGCAGAGTTCAAACTGTAATCTCAGCTAAGGCTCTGAATTGAAAATTTGAAGGCTAGAGACAAAAAAATAGTTATTGCAGAAGGATGAAGGCATTTTGAAAACAGTGTATACAGTGTTTGTCCTGTTGCAAACATTGTAGTAGGATACTATATTAGATTCAGGCAAACAGGCTTTGGGCCAGAACCGTTTGGCCCAAGGCCTGTAATACTGCAAAAATGCAGCAGTGTGTAGCAAGTCAGGTTCCAAAAGCTCTCAGCTCTCTTTAAAAGAGAATGCCTGCTTCCCATTTCAGGCCTTTTCCCAACTCCTGTATATCATTGGGTGCAGCACGAGGCTTAACAGATGGCGTGAGTTACTATTCTACTTTCTCTGGTAGTCCTGTAGAAACATGCAGAGTTCTGCACATACACTGACGAGTTCTAAAATAACAGCAATTTGATAAAATAGAATGGAGGACTTGTGCCAGTGGTGTTTTTACACACCCCGTTACAGTTTACTATGGAAGCAAATAAAAAAAATTGCTCTACTTCAATATGTCATTATATAGCAAATTGAAGTTATGTTAGACTCCCTAATGTTCCCACTCCTGATGATTGCTGCTCCTCCTTACATTTTACCTTTTAAAAATAGTTCTAAATATTGCTGCTTAAAATGCAGCTAATGGTTTTTCTTTTAGAAACTGTTCAGCCATCATGTAGCCAATGTAGTTTGACTACCGAGTGACATTTAAAGGGCAAGTGAAGTTTCCAGTCCATGGCATTGGTTTATCTTCACTCAAACCATAATGAGGCCAAGTCTGATTTGACTATTTGTAGAAAGTGAAAGACTAAAGATCTGTAAAGCATACGGGTAGTCCTCGACTTACAACAATTCATTTAGTGACCATTCAGAGTTACAACAGCACTGAAAAAAAGTGACTTTTGATGATTTTTCACAGTTAGAACTTTGCAGCATCCCCATGGTCAGGTGACCAAAATTCAGGTCCACGGCAACCGGTTCATATTTATGACGGTTGCTGGTCATGTGACCATTTTTTTGTGGCCTTCTGACAAGAAAAGTCAATGGGGAAGCTAGATTCACTGAACAATTGGGTTACCAACTTAACAACTGCAGTGATTCACTTAACAACTGTGGCAAGAAATGTCGCAAAACTCATTTAACAAACGTCTCACTTAGCAACAGAAATTTTGCTCAGTTGTGGTCGTAAATGAAGGACTACTTGTATTTCATTCTTCCTCATCATTACCATCAACAACCATTTTTTTTTACCTAAGTCAAATTTGAATGTAAAAAGAGTGTAGCAGAATTGACCTACAGACTGACTGATTTCTGTACAACACTGCAGGATTGGGGATTACAGAATAACAAAATAGTAGAGTTGGAAGGGACCTTGGAGGTAATCTAGACCAAGCCCCTGCTCAAACAGAAGACCCTATATCATGTCAGACAAATGGCTATCCAACTCTTCTTAAAAACCTCTAGTGATGGAGCACCCACAACTTCTGAAGGCAAGCTGTAATTAATTGTTCTGGAAATTTCTCCTTAGTTCTAGGTTGGATCTCTCTTTGATAAGTTTCCATCCATTGCTTCTTCAAATGCTTTGGAGAATAGATTGGCTCTCTCTCTCTTTGTGGAAGCCCCTTAGATATTGGAAGTCCCCTTAGATATTGGAAGTCTACTCTTAGTCCTTTTCTTCATCAGACTAGACATACAGGTAGTCCTTCACTTACAAACAACAGTTCATTTAGTGACTTTGAAGTTGCAACGGCACTGAAAAAAGTGATTTATGACCATTTTGCACACTTATGATCATTGCAGCATCTCCATGGTCACATCATCCAAATTCAAACGCTTGGCAACTGACTCATGACGGTTGTAATGTTCCTGTGACAAGTAAAGTCAATGGGAAAACCAGTTTCACTTAACAACCATGTTACTAACTTAACAACTGTAGTGATTCACTTAACAACTGTGGCAAGAAAGATCGTAAAATGGGGCAAAACTCACAACTATCTTGTTTAGCAACAGAAATTTGGGGTTTAATTGTGGTCATAAATTGAGGACTACTACCTGTATCCAGTTCCTGTAATCCTGTTCCCACCTTAGGTCCCACCTAATTCTAGTCCCACCTTAGGCATGAAGACGGGGGAGGGTGTGTGTGACCTTGGGCCAGTCACTCTCTCAGCCTTTAGAAAGAGGCAGTGGCAAATCACTTCTGAAATCTTAGCAAGGTAACTGCAAGGACTTGTCTACACAATTACCAGCATTCAAGATTAATGAAGAGTAGAATCTGTTTCAAATAACTAGGCCTTGGATTCCCTCTGGCTGCTTAAAAGGAGCAATACAATTTATTCCCTCCAGCATATATCTGTCTATCAATCTGCCTTAGAAGCCTTCAGAATTTCACTGTAAAAACCATCACTTAAGAACAGCAGAGAAGAAAACAGGACTGGTTCTTAGATAAAGAGCTTCTGAGTTACTTTTATTCTTCAAGGCCTCTGTGATCTTTGGGCAACACAATACATATATCTCCCAATTACCTATGACGTTTTTAATTCAGTAGTCGTCAACATTAATAGTACAGATAGATTAAATCCACAAAGAGATTCCTGCCCAAATAATTTAAAAACTAAACTCCAATCCAAAAGAAAATAGAAGAGATAGTGAATAAGAAAATAATAAATTATTTAAAACTCTGAAGTTTTTTTTTCACGGAAGTAGTCTAATAAAACACTGCTCCCATAATATATCATTTGAAGTTTCTCAATAAATTATTTATTTCTCCCCAGAACCCAAGCTAATCTCTACATACAAAATAGCTTTTCAGTTGACAGCTCCAAAGCCTGAATGATGCCTATTTCAATTTACAGGTCTTAAAGTAAAGCTTGCTGGTTTTCTTTTTTCCCCTTGGTTTATTTAAATACAGTTTTAAACTGCTTCTGACCCATTGTGGTGATACTTTCTTTCAACTTTGGTTTTAAATGGATTTTTTGTCATTTTAATATTATTTTCTTAGTTATGTTTCATTAGCCTTTTTGAGTGCTTCTTAGAACGCAACCTATTACTAGTTTGACAAGTGATAAAAAAAAAGATCTTGGAATAATATCAGTGTTTTTTTTAACCTTGGCAACTTTAAGATATCTGGACTTCAACTCCCCATATTCCATAGCTAGTCTATACTGTGGCCATGAAAACATGGCTCAATCCAGGTAGTCACTAGGAGTCAATTTGACTCAAAGGAGATTTTGACTTTTATTTAATATGAAATTGAATTTAATAACCTAATGATCCTTTTTAACTTGTTTGATTCTATGTTCATGATAAAAGCCTCCAATTAAATGTAACAATGATGCTTATATATATATTACATACATATTTCATGAATTATGTGCTGCTTTAATCACCTATGAATAAGAATTGCTTTGAATAGGTACATTGATATCATTAAAGGAAAATGGCACAGGTGGGCTTTCATGATGAAAATAGTTGTGGAAGAAAATTATCCTAGTTTCAATTTTTTTGGATTTATAACAGCATATTATACAATTCAAATAATTTTTCTATGATTTATATGGAAATGTTTTAAATATTAATCTCCTAGTAGCCCCAACTTTGCAGCTAGAAATGCACTGCTTAGCCCAATAAAATCTTGATCAGAAATGCTATTATTACATAAAAAATTGAGCTACCATATTTGGGCTGAAAATCTCAACCTCTAGATGGCAGCAAAGATATACACTGGCTTCTTTTCTGCCATCTGATGGTCATCCAGATGTGTGCAGCCTAGATTGTGTATCAATAGTTAAAGGCCAAGCATAGCTCATTATATATTTGTTGCTTCTTCAATCTCTACCCAATAGGGAGACTAATAGCCTTACCTTACACCACAATCCATAATACCATTGTTGCCTTGCAGACCTACTAGACCTCAAGGTCTAAAATACCCAAGATAATGTCCAAAATCCATACTGACTTAGGGAATTTTGGGGTTTAATCCAATAGTTCTGGAAGGCATTAGGAGAGGAATGCTGATTTATGTCTTTAGAGTAACTGAAGCTCCCTTTGAACTAGCTAATCCCTGAAGTTACATAAGATATCTGAGCTAATGAGATTTGCCTCTGTTGATAAGAATGTGACACCTAATTCTTGAGCTACATAAAAGAAAAGTGTAAATGAGACATAATTCTTTCTTTTTGTTCCCAGAATTCACCATCAAGAGTTTTTGCAGCTTTGTAGACATCATGAATTTTTCCAAGCTACAAGTCTTGAGACTGGATGGGAATGAGATCCGTCGCAATCATATGCCCTCAGATGCCCCACTATGCCTGCGGTGGGCCAATGTCATAGACATTTAACTACTACACTTGTTTCTTTCCTTAGACCACCTCCATCATAGGAACAGGGCCAAATACTTCCTGCAATCCTACGGCACAATGAGGATTCTTCCTCACTTTTTTTTTACTGCTTCATTTGACTGAGCTTCTACAGTGGTATAATGTAGGGAGAATTGGTAACCTGAACGCAGAGGTCTTGTTTATAATAGTCAATTCAGTAACGACGCAAAGGCCAACCAAATCTTTGCTTACCTCTTTCCCACTTTCTCTCTACCGCACTCTCATTTTTTCAGCAATCACTTACCCGGTTTTCATGTCATGCTGTTGGGTGGTGCTCATTCTCTTTGATGAGCAGTACAGAAGTATTATTCTTTACAAGTGTTTCGTGTGTGTAGCATTAGAAATTCAATGCCAGCTAGGATACCTTTGGGATTTAGTTTTCCATGTAGGGGGACTGCAATGAAAAAGTACTGTAGCATGTGTGTAGTGGCAGTGAATGAGACTAAATCCAAACAAAACTAAAACAGATTAAAGAGTTGACCACCCAGCAAGGAACTATTAGAAAGATTAGTTCGGGAAACAGAAAAAAAGCAAAACCAATGGAGAAAACAGTAACAAGTTAGTTGACAGTATAACTCTCCAGGTATTAGTTGCCAACTAAGTAGCATCATTTTGTTTATTCTTCTTTCTTGTCCATTAGTTTTAACATACACAATACAACAACACACATTACCAGTGAGGAATCAAAACTCCAACAAGCTTAGCAACACATAAGAATTGCATATTGAGCTAATCATGATGCTGTACGTCAAATGTCACCATTATATTTCCAACCCCAATAGAGGCTTGTTATTTATAATAGTCATAATTTAGCCCCCAGAAAGACCAAAATATAGTTTTGCACTTAAATAGTTTCAGCAAGACCCTTTGTCACCATCTTTTTTTCATTTTTACTTTGTTCTAATGCTCCTATTTAATCTCTTAATGTTCTGCAATCAGTGCTGTGGTAGCAGAAGGATTTTAAGTAATATTTCCGCCTCAGATTTGGAGACCATTGCACTTTGAGAGATTAAAAGGAGTAACGGAGCCTTCAAACCTAACATTTTCTCACAGTTTGAGGGCAGCCTTACATCAATAGAAAAGCTTCATTCATATCACATCCTGGAGGGGTGGGAAGAAAGAGTATCTTTTTCATTTTCAGGAAAAAAAGAACATTTTACTATGTAAACTTCTGATGGCATTGAGCCCCATTTGTGGCTTCCTACACACTGCATATTATTAACCTTTTCCAGCCAACAGGTTTTTTTTCCCCCTTTCTTCTGTTATAGCGCAATGCAATTCATTACTCAATGCTTTCATCATGCATATTTCATATTCCTTTCCATGTGCTGCTTGAGTGCATATAAACAATGCTACTGTTTGAAGGCATGTTTCTAGATAATAATAAAATGCAATGAGAACCATAAGCATTAAAACGGTTGGTAAGATTCAGTATCATTCAAGCAAGATATTTAGTCAGCATATAATGAAGAACTGAGGATTTTAGGCTTGTACTACTCTGTATGTTCCCATTTCAGCACAATAATCCAATAAAAGGTGCATCCTAAATCCTTGTTATAATAGCATTGCTTTCTTGGTTCCTGTAAGTCTAATTACATTTGCTATAATTCGCTTGCTTGACTATAGAACTGCCTGTATTAAATTTCATGCATGCCATAGTACCAGCTACTGCCATAAGAATCTATGGTGCTTTTGTCTATCATCCACTTTCATTTCCATAAAATTCATGGAGGGAAAAACAAGAACAAGGGAAAAATAGGTCTTGGGAGATTCTGAGATGCTCGAAACCTTTTTGTATATGTAAAATGCATGCTGATAATATTTTTAAAATGTAGATGCATGAACTGTAGATACCATTATTGTTCAATAAAATCCTTTTTATAATTGCATGGAATGACTTGAAAACTACCAATTGTTGAGAGGAAGTCTGAAACATCTGAAGTTAATGAGTAATTATCAGGAATTAAATCCACCATGGAAACATTTAATACTGCACATTTGAAAGGAAGGTGTCTGCATTTAGGGGATCAGATATGTTGATTTAGTGAATGGGTTCAGTAAATTAAATCAAGGTTTTATAAGCCATGATTTGCTAGGTTCACATATTGTAAATGTAAAAAAATGGCTAGGTTCATACAATATGTTAAGACACAAACAGACACAAACACAAAATATCTATTATGTTTGGCTCAGAGATAAGCAACTTTTCTAAGCAGACACCATCATCACACGGTTTTGCATGGCACTTGCAAGCATCAAATGATATAAAAGAAAAATAGCAGCTGGAATGTTGTGAGACCTTATATGAGAACACAGGTACCATTGTGATTACTGGGAGATTTGGGGAATGTTAATTTTTTCCCATATTTTGCTATGCAGTGGACTCTCCATTCAGGTATCATAGATCCCAAAAATGCTTCAGTTCTAATCTGATATATTTCCTTAGCAATTTCATTCTTTCCAGCCAGTTGGGAATTAATGATCACCAAGCCTAAGTAAGAGAAATGTTCTCATTTGTAGGAAAGGCTTCCCTCAGTAATATATTCTGGGAAAAGCACTGCTTCTGCTTCTCATGCTTTAGCATTAATATTTGACTGCCAAACTGAATGGTTCAAGGCAGATGGATCTTATAGGGGATCAGTGTAACCATTATAAAACTCTGGTTCAAAAAATCAGTCTTTCCCTTGAAATGTCACCTCCATTGGATTTCCAGGTAAGCCTGTCAGATACTGTGCTGCAAAATCTGAACAGCTAAAATTCTAAGTAGCTCTTCCATCTAGTGTTGGTTTGTTGGTTTGTTGGTTTGTTTTTTAGTTTCTGCAACCCAAATCTGGTAGACCAGTGTTTTTCAATCTCACCAACTAAAATGTTGGCTAGGGGATTCTGGGAGTTGAAGTTCACAAATCTTAAAGTTGATGAAGATGAGAAATACTGTGGTACAGTAGACCCTGCATATGAAATTGTTCAGCAGTAGCAACAGTGATAGAAACAGTGATCTAACTTTGCCCTCTGGTGGCTGAACTATGGAATTTCTTACAACATATACCTATTCTTCCACCAAATAATGTTTCATCTTTAAATGCTAATGTTTCACCATAATTGCAAACAAGCACAGCTACTTTTTAGATTAGGGGTCTCCATCCTTGGCAACTTTAAGACTTGTGGATTTCAACTTCCAGAATTCTGGGAGTTGAAGTCCACAAGTCTTAAAATTGCCAAGGATGGAGACCCCTGTTTTAGATGATATTTGTGTTGAGTTGATGACAATACTATATTGCCAAAGATGAATACCGTATTTTTCGGAGTATAAGACGCACCTTTTTCCCCCAAAAAAGAGGGTGAAAATCTGGGTGCGTCTTATACTCTGAATGTAGCCCCGCCCAGTTTCTCAAACGGAGGTGTCAGAGGCTGAAAAAAGCATCAGAAACGAAGCTTCAGAAAAGAAGTCCCCAAACAGAGCTTCAGAGGCTTTTTTTCTCAAGCTCAGTTTCAGAGGCTTTCAGAGGCAAGAAAAAAGTTTTTTCTCAAATGGAGTTTCAGAAGTTTCAGAGGCAGAAAAAAAAGCCAAAAAAAAGCAAGGCACAGAGCTCACAACCAAGGAACCTGTTGCTAAAATTCACCTCTGGGAACAGCTGATTGGGGGTATTCTGGGAGGCCGATCCACCTGCCAATCAGCTTTTTTCTTATTTTCCTCCCCAAAAACTAAGGTGCGTCTTATACTCCGAAAAATACGGTATTTGCTGGGAGGAACTGTCTTATCTACATTGCAGTAAGAATTCCATAGTGTACATGAAATATGCACAAAGAGCAAGGCTATTTCTGGTTTCTAGTTATGATGGTGAGATGTTTTTCTACCAGTAGCAGAATTACAAATTTGAGAGTGAAATTACACATACTGTAGTCCTTGATTTACAATAGTTCATTTAGTGACTGTTTGAAGTTACAATGGCACTGGAAAAAGTGACTTATGACCAGTTTTCACACTTATGACTCTTGCAGCATCTCCATGGTCACTGGATCAAAATTCAGGTACTTAGCTACTGGTATGTATTTATGATGGTTGCAGTGTCTCGGGCTCATTTAATCACTTTTTGTGACCTTCTGACAAGCCAAATTAATGGGGATTTGCAGTGATTCGCTTAACAACTGTGGTAGGAAAGGTCGTAAAATGAGGCAAAACTCATTTAACAAACAAAAGCAATAGAAATTTTGGACTCACCTGTGATCGTAAATCAGGGACTACTTACTGACTACAGTACTTACTGTCCCTTACATTGTGGCGGGGGGTGGTTTGCAGATTTTCCATTGATTTCAGTTTGCTATTGCAGGTGTAAAATTCTGGAACAGATGGCCTGTATTTTGATCCAGCTCAGCTCTTCTGAGATCCCAAAGCAAAGGGCAAGGGCATCAAAATCTCATGTTCAGCATAATTTATTTTCTTGTCTCCTAGATAATCTAGCACACACTAATTTTATTCATGCAGGGCACAGGTGTCAAACTCACAGTGTCACATTTCCATCACATGACCTTTTGCAACGTCTTTCCCCTTCGCAGAGATGGGGTGGGCATGGCCTGAGTGTGACGCATCCGGTCCACGGATCACCAGTTTAACACCCCTGATGTGGGGTCTTTCACTGCAGTCCCAGAAAGCATGATGCTGCTCCTTTTCTGGTGCAGACATTATTCATTGATAAGGTTTCATAATACAGCATTAGAACTCTATCCATAGCAGGGCTTCTGGTGAGGATTATGGTGGACTTGATGTCTCTGAAGAAGCAGTGACGGCTGACCGCGTTGATTGGTGGGCAGATGCTGGCTGACAAAACCTGTCTGGATGAAGGAGAGATTGTGAGATAGTCCACTTGTACTCTGAGCAGCTGCTTCTCATGAGTAAACTACAGGACTAGAAGGTTTTGTGGTTGACTCATAAATCAAACAGCTGGGAGTCACAGAATCCCATCTAAGCCCACAGCCAAAGTGTAGCTTATATACACAATAAATTCAGCCAAGTTAATTTTTTAATTCTTAATTTCTTAACCACGTTTCATTTAATCAGTCTACAGATAAACAGATTTTCTTTGTGGCAAGATACCATTCCTCTTGGTGAGTGCAACTTTTTTTTTCTGGATTACAATAAAAAAGAGACTTTGAAGATTTAAAGACTCAAGAACTTTTGACAAAAAAACAAAGAGATGATTTAACAAAGTTTAAGGTGGATACAGGAAACAGTTATATTTTTATTTGTACTATTTTTACTTTTGGTGATAGTGCTTTTGCATAAACTTGAATTAAACTAGACAAATAGACCAGACCTTTCTGGAAATGCTTTCTGTTTACTACTAAAGAGTGCAAGTGATTGGCAGATTTAATAAAACAAAAGATAAAGGTAATATCAGCCAGACTGTCATGCTTTGTTGCTATGGGTATGTGGATTGTGATGTGGATTGAAAGGCACAGAAAGAGAAAAGCGAAGGGGAAAAATCACGAGATCTTGTTTTTATACATGATAACTACAACCAGACTAGTATTATTGTCTGCACAAAAGTGATATATTTTGGCACTAACCACAATGGTGGAAAGGTTGGTGAAGATGATGGAACTTGCAGAAATGGCTAAATTTATTTCCTTGATTGAAGACATTAGACAGTATCTGTGCTTAGTATTGATCCAAAATCCCTTATAGACTTTTTGCATGAAACAGAAAATAATGAACTTATGATTTATGATTTTGATTATTTAAAAAAAATAGAAAAAGAGGGATTTTTGTACTATAGAGGTAATTTTGCACTATACTTGTACTTAAAATTGCTGTGAAGAAAATGGAAGCTATTTCTATTACTTTTCATTGTTTCTTATGCTTTTTTTGGCTTTTTCTCCACATTTTTTTCCTTTTTCCTTTTATTTACTTTGCATTAGTTCTTGTTAATTTTCATCTCTTTTAAAATATTTAATAAAAATTATGTGAAATAAGAGGGGAAAAGAATATCCGGAGCTATACAAATTAAATGTATTAAGAGCCTTGGTAGTACAGTGGTTTAATGCACCCTGTAATTAACACAGCTGCCTGCAATTTCTGCAGGTTCGAATCTTACCAGGCTCAAGGTTGACTCAGCCTTCCATCCTTTCTAAGGTAGGTTAAATGAGGACCCAGTTTGTGGGGGCAATAAGCTGACTTTGTATAAATATACAAAAGTATGAAGGCTATTGCTTAACGCATTGTAAGCCACCCTGAGTCTCCGGAAAAGGGCGGCATATAAATCAAATTAAAAAAAAAAATACATTTCAACCACACCACCTAGTATATTCTGGCCATTTTGAAACTGGAGTTTTCCAGATATGCTAGATCATAGTTCCCATCATCTCCTTTTAACATTCAAAGAATCATGAGCAGTACATCACATCTCCATCTTCAATTCAAAACCTCTTTATTTCTGCCACAAGATGTCAATGTTGTCATTCAAAAGCAATGGCTTGGTAGGGTCAATGGTAATAAATTCTAGGATCACAGCTGATTTTGCCTGATGCAGCAAAAGCAAAATAGCTTAGAGGTGAAGAAAGATGCATGGCATTTATGTGCCTAGTCTATTTCACAAGCAGAAAAATATCAGGAATAATTGAGTAGGCAAGGAAGCTTTTCTTATGAAGGAAATGCTCTTTTTTCCCCTGATGCTTTATTAATATTGGCTATACCAAAAGACATTACATGAAAGAAGCTCTAGGAATAGTTTTTTGTTTTTTTTTTCCTGGAGCAATGATAATTAGTTCATAAAATAATATATATTAGGCAGAATACAGTGTAGAAGTCTATGATTATGTAAGGTATGGGCAAGTAAGACTGGCTCTAGGTCCCATAAATGAAATTGTGCAAACACACTCCTTGCCACTGTTA